CCCTCGGGCGCACGCGGGGGCTGTTCCTGCACCGGGCTCCTCTCCGCTGGCGCCTTACCTCGGGGGCTGCGGCGGCCGGGCTCCTCCCGGGCCGGGGCCTCGGGAGCAGGGCCGGGGCTGGAGGGTGCCCTGTCGCCGGCCTCCCCCTCGTAGCCCACGTCCCGCATGCCCAGGACCAGCTCTGGGAAGGCCTTGCGGCCTGGCTTCTGACTCTTGGTTGGGGCGCTGGCTGTGCGCCGCAGGAGCCGCTGGCTAACGGAGGGCCGGGCGGGGGCCGCCCAGCAGCATGACTGTCCAGGGAGCCGGGCTTTGGGCCTCGGAGGAACAGGCCTTTTAGGCCCAGAGCCTGCTTGACCTGCAAGAGAAGGAGACACATAGCGGACGGCCGGGCAGCGGGGCCGGGGACCGCCCAGCCCAGTCCAGCCACGCTCCAGCAGGGAGCGGCCTGGGTTGGGCCTGCTGCAGCCCGAGGGGCCAGCTTGCTGAGGGCACCGGCGGCTGCATCAGGCTGGGGCCACTCAGGGCTGTGCAGAAGGGAGAGGGTCCCCATGGCAGCTCTACCAGGGACAGCGGCTGCTGCGGCAGGGAGCCAGCGGGCGCTGGCGGGAGGGCTGCAGGTCTCGGAGCAGGTGTGCCAGGGAGGGCTGGATGGGGCAGGCCCAAGCAAGGACCTCGACCCTAGCCCTCAGCGGCCAGCTCTGGCAGAGCAGGCTGGCCCAGGCACTGGTGTGGAGGGGAGGACGGCCGAGGACCGGACAGAGCAAGCACCAGTCAGGTTCCCCCGGCCTCAGGCACCGCGGCCGAGGAAGCAAGCACAGCCAGGTGCAGACCGCGGTCGGCTAGCCCATGCTCCTGCCTGGCCCATTCCCCTGGAGAGGCTGCCTCTTCCAGGAAGCCCTTCTGGATTCCTGCCAGGCAGTTTTTCCCAGCCTCACCCTGCACTCTGGTCAGGGGGCCTCAAGAGCAGGGCCCCTGCTGGCTTGGTGCCCCCAAACCACTGCTCGCCCAGGGCCTTCCCGGACAGCCAGGCCCAGGAGGTCTGCGCAAGGCCTCTCCCTGCGGCCTCCCTGCCCAAAGAGGGTAGCCAGGGGCCCCCATGACCGGCCTGGGTCAACCCCAGAGAGGCCAGCAGGGTCCTCACATGCAGAGACCCTAAAAACAGCCATGGCTCCCCAGGGACACAGAGGCACCTCTACGCAGAGGCGGTAGTGGCCAGCACTTGAATCAGCTGCCCGATTCAAGATCCCAAATCCAGAGCAATTTGGTCAAAGTCGGCTGGAAAGTCATTTAGAAGAAGGTCCAGAATTCAAGCTCGGAGCTCCTGGTCCCTGGGACCTCCCCCTCACCCCTTGGCACAGACAGAGTCAGAGGGGCACACAGGTGGGGGTGCACAGAGAGAAGGGAGGGGAGAGGGAATAGGGTGCCGGCAGCTAGGGGCCCGGACATAGGGAAGGACAGGGCAGGGAGGAGGTACGGGAGTTGGAAAGACCAAGGGGCCGGAGGAGACGGGCCAGACCTTGGGCAGGACACGCAGGAGGCCTGGCTGAAGTCCTGGACCTGCCTCATAAATGCTGCTCTGTGCCTGAGGATGGCCCAGGGGACCCAGAATCACGTTCCAACCCATGTCACATGAGCTGACAGTCTCCAAGGTGCTACCAGGAGTCACAGATGCTAAGGGGGCGGCCTGAGCATGCAGTGGGGACGGCAGGCCGCGCACCCCGGTGCTGGGGTACCTTCAAGCTCCTAACAGGGCTGTGCTTCTAAAAGTAGACTTTGGACATAGAGAAGCCCACTGCAAGACCAAAGAGACAGAGTGAGGCCGTGAGACACCGACAGCGGGCACGGAGCCGCAGAGACGGAGACAGGACAGACAGGACGGACGACAGATGCACGGCAGAGTTGGGAGGCCTGGGGGCCCACGTCCAGCCAGCCTCGGGGCCAAGGAGCAAGGCAGGAGAGAGACGGTTAGTGCTAGGCCTGCGAGGACCCCAACGTGTGCCTGACAGACCACCATGTATTATGGCCCTGCTGGGCCCTGAGCACAGAACCCAGGACCCATGGGCTCTGCAGACTGGGGAAGCTGGAGCGAGACCCCCATCCTGGGTAAACTGCTGGGGACCGGTGGGGATCTGGGGCAAAGCCAGACGCCTTCGAGGAGGGATGGAGAACCTGGGGACCCTGAGAAGTAGAAGGGAAGGCCCAGGAGAGATGGAAGGCGGGCAGGGGGTGCCCAGGAAGGGCTGTGGTGTCCATCTCCCGATGGCCACAGTGGCCCCAGGACGTGGTCAGGGCTGGCAGAGGTGTGCCAGGGGCCCAGCCACTCATTTCGCAGGTGGAGACACAGTCCCAGCGAGGGGACCGCTAGACCTCATGGCCCTGGGGGCGTGGATCGGGTGGGGCTGGGGCTGGCGCTGGTGCGCCCCTTCTGGGCAGCAAGTGACCCTGCAGGTGGCACTCACCTTACCACTGATGTCACTGACGGCCACGTGAACAAAGATGGAGGCCTCTTCCATCCCCTCCAGGTACACATGCCGATAGCCTGAAACAGTCTGGGTCACAGCTCACCCCAGCTCCTACCTGCCCATGTCCCCCACACTCTACTTAAAGTTCCTAAGGCCCTGAATACAACCTGTGAGTCCAGTCCTGGGGCCTCTGCCTCCTCCAGGAAGCCTGCTGGTACTGCTGTGGCCTGCAGGGATCTCTTCCTCTTCCTGGAGACCGGGGGACTCCGCAGCTGGGTCTCCCCTCCCCCACCCTGTCTATGGAGTGCTGTGGTCTTGCACCCTCCTCCTCTGCTCCCTCCGTGTCCCCATGTCCACCCGTGGTAGGAGTCAACTCGCTGGAGGAGGCTGAGCCCTGCCCTGTGCTGGAGCCTTCTGCTGGCCTGCAGGGGATGCTGACCCAGGGCTCTGCCCTCCCCAACCGCTCCCACGGTGGCCCCCTGCCCACCTGGCATCATGCTGCTGAAGGCCAGCGTCCTTTGGCCGATGAAGTCACGCCCAATGGGGTCATGGTCCCAGACGAGGAAGCGCACCAGCGCTATCTCGGGCATGTGCACCGTGAACACCAGGGTCTCTTCCCACATGGGGTTGAATCCTGGAGATCACCAGGAGGAAGTGTCACCTCTTGCCCCAGTGCCACCTCACAGATGGGCCTGTCCCCACCACAGCTCCAGCCGGGAGGCCAGCTGGGCCCATGCCCTCTCCCAGAGCCTCCTCCTGGGCTGGCCACCCGGCAGAGAGAAGCAACAACACCTAAAGGCCGGGCGGCCATCACTGGGCTTCCAGTCGGGACAAGGGGCAGGCTGGCCGGTTACCTGGGTCACAGGAGGGGGCCCTCACCCTTCCCTTCCCAGCTGACTAGCAGCACCAGCACAGGAGCTGTGATGGCGCTGGGGGCACAGGCTGGCACCTGGGTGCCCATAGCCCCCTGCAGCCTGCCTGGGCCAGGACCCTCACCATTGTCGTCCACCACGCGGGTCTGCTCCTTGCTGCAGTCCACGGGGAGCCCAATGACCTCCACCTCCACGAAGGGGTCGATGATCTGCCACAGAGAGCGAGGGTGGCACCAGAGCCCGGCAGTTTCCCCAGCCCCCTCCCTGTGTGTGCCCAGGCCCCGCTACCTCCCCTCGGTCCCCCAGCATGGAGTCCCGTGGCTTGGGGAGCTGCTGCCCACTGATGATGCGAAGCACCAGCTGCTTTTTGAGCTGCCCCGGCAGGGGGTCCTCAGAGTTGGGGTTGAAGACACCTAGAGGGCCAGGGTGTGAGGCTGAGTGGGAGGGGTGAGCCCCCCACTGACTCTCCAGGGTGGAGATCCCTCCCCTGCCTCTACCCCATCCACTGGACGGGGGCCCGGGCCCAGGAGGAGGAGGGAGGCAGCGTTGCAGTGCGGCGGGTGCCAGGTGGCTGTGCACCGGTCACCTCTGCAACCACCCTATGACGTGGGCCCAGGTCGTCCCCTCCCACAGTGAGGCACGGGTCTCAGCACGTGTGTGAGGCCACGCTGCCTGTGGGCGGGGAGCCGAGTACTCTGGAGCCCGGTGGGTGGGAAGCTGGTGCCCAAGGGCAGGGCGGGGGGTGGGGGTGGGGGGCAGGGGCTGTTTACGTTCACAGCTGGAAGAGGTGAGTGCAGACAGAAGGGTGTGGGCGGGCCAGGGGTAGAATGGGAAGAAATCCACAAGTGGTCTTCAGCACGTCAGAGGGAACGCTGAAGCGGGCAGGGCAGGGGTGGCCGGGGACTCCAGAGTCCCAGCAGGGTGGGGGGCCCGCCCTGTGCCCCCTGCGGTCTTCATGCGGCCGCCCCGCATCCCGGCCTGTGTCCTCACCCTGGCACATGCACTGGGGCTTGAGCACGTAGCCACAGCTGCCGTTGGCACTGAACTTGGCCCGGTTCAGCTGCAGCATCCGCCCCTCCGACTGGTAGTTCAGGGCGACTGTGGGGAGGGCGGTGGGGCGGCCAGGTCAGCCTGCGCGCTGCCCACGAGCCCTCATCCGCCTACGTGCGCCGGGGCATCCTGGCAGGACCCTGCCCCCAGGTCCGGCGTCACCGCTCCCTCGCCCCGGGGTCCTAAGGGCTGGGTGCCC